AAGGACACCAGATCCATTGTCCAGAGGGAACCTTCCTCTGAAACAATGCCAGCATCCCCCTCAGTCATGTCCTCTGTGTTCTTGAGTGCCTGAAGATGTGCCTCAACAGCTCTCTCTAGTTCAGTAGGATATCTTGTAAAATAAACATAATTATACATTAAAAACAAAATCAACTTTAGTAACAGGAAAGAAAAGATCACCTAGAGAAACTTCTAAAGGAACTACATTTGCCCTGTTTTACCAAGCATACAAGACTTAATGTTGAGTCATATCCATTGGTAAATATGGGTTATTCAATTATGAGAAGTGACATTATGAGAACTTAATTAAAGCAAACTCTAAAATACCAGCGCTTTTTGAGCAAATGTGACAAACACCAGTTCTGCCAGCTTTTCAGAACAGATATTTGGTCTCATTACTCAGCATCAGATGGATATAGCCAACTACAGTTTCACTTAAAGAAGAACTACAAGAAACAAGCAGGGTACACAACACGGAGTATGCCCATAGTGCTTAAAGATATAAATGAATTTATTCAAAAACATAAAAGCCCTACACATATACAAATGTGCAGGCATCAAACCTAACCTTTTTTCCAAGGCCTGCACCAAATCTTTCACTTTTTCATTCAAGTTTCCAATTCTACCCTCATCTGCACCCAATGCTTTCCTGGCATCACAGTACTCCTCAAGAAGTGTTCTACAGGTAAGAATCAAGGACAGTGATTAATTTACAATTTTTAACAAAAAAAAACAAGTAATTTGAGAAATGTGATTGTCTTTAGGAAGAGAGTCCATAAGAAGACTGCTCTCATAGACTGTGCCTGACATTTCCACCAACTGAACAGAAGTCATTCACAAAGTCAAGCACATGGAAGTTTCTTTCAGTCAAATGTTAGGTCTGTTTAGAGAAAACTGATTAGACTGAGTTTTACGAAGTTTTTATTGGCTTGAAGCCTGCTAAATGTTGAGATCACATTCTTCCAGTGTCAGAAAGGTACTCAACTCATGTGATTTTTATTCTCAAGAGGAAAATTCCTTCAAACACGGGGAATACACATTTCATCACTCACTGGTCTGAAGTATCTTGAAATATATATGAAAAAAGTGCTATAATTGATGCTACATGTTAATGACCAGATGCATGGTCTCACAACCTGTTCCGTAGCTTACTATAGCCTTGAAAGACTAGAAATTCCTAAACCTGATTGACAAGTAACTTTTCCTTACAATAGCAATATATTATCCAGCAAACAAGTACTGAGAATAAATCAAACTTATCAACTCCAGGGTGTTTATGTGATACATGATATAATCAAAATACAAAATTGAAAATTTTTGAAAAATATATAGTTTCCAAAGAAATATAAAGCAGCTTGAAGGTACAGTTTCAGATCAGACCTTAAGCCTTCCTCCAGATGAAGCAGAGGTTTTCATTCAAGCTGTATTTTATTTGAATTATTTGTTTTTAACCCTCTGACAGTGCCTATATAATATCTGTACTACACACTGTTCAGAAAAGCATTAAAAACATCTGTATTTCTTACAATGAACAACTTATGGTGAATTCTGACCTGCCAATCACTGTGACCAGTGCTGGTTCAAAATCAACCTCTCTAAGTAATTCCCAGACAATCTCTAACAGGGCTCTTGTGTCACTCTCCTCTGATAACTCCTGTTTTATTCCATTGGATACAAGTTGTGGGACAAATGCTTCAAGTAATGGATTAATGCTATGAGTCACAGACAAATTGTGAAGAATATCTACCAGTCTTGGAAGTTTCAGAAGTGCTTTAAAAGACCTGTGACAAAATACATAGCAATACACAATTATAAATGAAAAATGGAAGATTTTAAGGATAAGGAGTGACATATCTGCACATTAAGCAAAAGTAAGTCATTTTTATCATATGCTATATACATGTATCATAGACTAACCTCTTTGATAATTTCTTTAACCCCTGAGATTGACATGTGTAGGTAAGACAAGACAAACCTTCAGTGGCAAATCCTGGTTTAATGCTCTGCAATTTATTAAAAAGCGAAGGGATTAATAATACTTGAGTTTGGGAGAGCTTATGAACCAATGACAAGTTATAGTGGTCAACCAATGATGAGAAAAAGCTAGAGAAAGACAAGGGAAAGAGAGACGCCACAGAAACATGGAGAGCTACAGACAGTACCTTCAAAGAATGGACTATGAAAATAAACTTGATTACTCCCTGTAACAAGACTTGAGGAACAGTTTAAATTTGAGGACTGCCCTGATTGATAATTGATTGGTTGTAAAAATTTATGCAAACTCAAAAAATGACTAAAGCTTCACCACATTGATAAGTTGCTAGTTTTATTTCAAGACTCAATTTCAGTCCCTGGTGCTTTCATGATAGGTGATCTTGAATTAAGTCACAAGGGTCAACCTTGAAGGGACTTTCAACTCACCATTTACTGTTGTATTTTATTCATGGAAGATGCCCAAAATAACAGTAATTTATAATACCTTACATATGCTGTCAGATAGGGATTTCACCAATTCCTTCTCCATACTGCATCTAAAACACAACTGAGCTGTAATAATGTACGATGATGCTATCAGCTCTGAGAGCCCAGACTTAATACCAGCCAGTAAATGAGGCAATAACAGAGTCATAAATTTCTCTGTCACACTTGGCATCATATCCAAGACTCCAACTACAGTTGAGGTATAAAATGTAAACAAAACTCTCGAGCTTGATGGAGGGATTTCCAACTTTATACCTTCCATTACCATGTCACAAATGAGAGAGAAGAAGGCTGTATCAGTGATGCAGTGTTGTAAGAAAGCTGTCTTAGAAAGGGGAACTCCAGCTTTTTTAATCGGACTGAGCCAGTTCCATTTTGAGGAAGGATCTTTTATGGAAAGTAGCTGCAACACACGAGTGAACAAGTTTGTTTCGTGGTAAGGCAAAATACAAGTGACCAAACTATCAACATTGTGCACGTGGATTTGGAATCTTCGGATAAGCCATTCCAAAACCTTATGAGCTGGCTTTAGCAAGAAGTATGGCGATAAATATTGCAGAAACTTTGAAATATGCTTATCGAGCTTTTCGTTCACATCTTTTGTCTGTAAAGATCTCTCCAAAGACATCGAATTGTCGCCAAAAAGCGACTTTTCAAACATCTTAAAGGCAGGCTCGATAACTTTCAATTCTTCCAAGCCATTTAAACCGATAGAGAACACAGTTTCGTTGTCTATGTCAGCTGCCTCTTTCGAATCAAATAGCAGAGATGATTTTTTGCTGGCTTTAGCAGTGGCTGTTGAAGGCAAACTGCCTGGTATTTGCAGTTGCTGTAGTTGTTTTGCCAGGGACGTCATTTTAGTTTTCCACGTGCCAGAGATTAAAAGCGTGGAAAAGACTACAACTTTGAAGAGGCCTGGCTACAAGGCTTGACGATTTTGTGTGAGGGTGGAGAGGGAAGGTGGAAGGTGACACTCTATAAACATTGTCAAATCTGATTGGATGATATCTGTGAACTCTGTCCAATCACGTTAATCTATCCAAAAGCGCGCGTTATGAGCGTCCGCCCGCGTGAAGAAAAAAAAATCTGAACATAAACAAAAGATGAGTTTAAATTACCACGTAGAGCTGAAAATGATATCTTATAAGACGCAAAAAATGATGAAATAGAAGGAGATCGCCTCAAGATACAACTAAAAATGCCACGCTACCTGGGAATCGACTTCCTCGCGGATGTAAATACAGCATTTGTTCTAATCTTCATACAAACAACCACCCTTATCTGAATCTGTCGGTAAACCTACAGATATTTAAATATAAATTTCTATTGTATGGTTCTGTTGTTCCCTTTTGCAGGCATTACGACAGCGCAAAAACATGCTTTCCCAGATGCTTCTCACAATACCGAGCAATTTGGAGTATGTAGACACGTACACCCATAATGAAACAGCTAGTGATAGGACACGACTTATTCCTCGACTGAAGGGTAAAGAAGAGATGTTTAATAATTCTTATGAAGCTATTTTAAGCGCTTCTTGGGTTTGTTTCAATCTATTTAAAATTTTGCCTGATTTTCCATTAATTATAAGCTATTCATACACAGAAATGATTCCCTTCAAGTTGTCAAGTAGACAACCCATTGACTACCTGGCACAGATCACAGAAATCTCAGGCAACATCCAGCGGCCTGTGGCCTACAGCTCAGAGAAGACTGGGAAAGACATTGTCCCAAGCTCCAACCCAGACTCCCCTTTGGTATCCTTTGATATGTGGTCTGATCTTGAAGAGGAAATCGTGGATCAGGTCATCAGCTCATTAGCACCAGACAAAGAACAGTTTACACCAATCGATGAAAAGTCTGACGGTAAATTTGAATTGTTTGATCGTTGCGAGCGACAACATTAAAGCCTTAAAACTGAACATAAGGGCAAAAGTGTACGAGAATTCTAGTGAAAGTACAGATCAATAAAGAACAAGATAAAGTGGCAAATGGGTTGTAAACTGGTGATCTCCGCGTAATAAGTCAAGTTACAAAAATTCCTTTGTCCCATACCAATATCTATCATTATCTCATAGATGACTCTATGAAACTAGAAGAAGTGGAATTCACAGACAACCTCTATTCCATTCGCCAGAAGATTCCTGACATTAACGTCCTAGCTTCAAGGTTGAAAACGAAACTTGTTCAAGACCCTCTTTTGTTGGACAGCCATGGTAATCCCTTGGAAGAGAAGAGCCTTTTGAGGTTAGTAGTTTGATTTTCCAACAGCAACGTCTTTTAGCTAATAATGTTTTACACAATATGTATGACGCGCGTTTAGCTAGCCCCCGAAAGTCTCCTATTTCATTTGGTAACGTCTGCATGAGGTCACTAGACGCTGTTGGTGCAATTTCTAGTTTGGCTGAGAAATCATCACACACTATTTTTAATGAATTTTAACTACCCAAATATCCCTTTTTTTCCTGTAAACTCACAGATCGGAAATTCAGGCGTCTTTCAGGGGAAAAAATGCCGAAGGACTAGGACAGGAGGACAAGGAAATGTTTTTAAAGATATATTGCGGTGACAATGTGAATGAGGTATGGAAAGCTTGTAAAAGTGGAGCAGACAAAAGACACTAAACATTACAGAGAAATCCTAAGCAAATGTTTAACTCAGGGAATGAGGTGAGAGGTTCTGTCAAGATGGTTCAGTAGCTGTGGTGTTGTTGCGCTGTTAACATACCGCCTGAATGTCTTTTCACATAGAATGAGGATGAAATCGAAGACGTTTTCAGTCCAGAAATCACATCAAAAGATGCATTCTGTGTGAAAGAGACGCTCAGATTGCTTGATCTACATGAAAAGAACGAGCTTGTAGGTAAGTTTGGTCCTTTTTTCCATTGCTTTATTGTTAAAAAATTTGGGAAATTGAATCATACTTCTGGCCGGGTTCCCACTTGTTCGCCACTCAGTTCCTCTTGTACCGTTAGAAATGACCTTCGGCTCGTGATTAGACGGTTACAGCTCTATTGTATGCACTGGTTTGTCCACGGGGAGAACATGTGTGTAGCATGCAAGCAAGCCTCTAACGTTTGTTCATGATACTTGCATTTTAGGGGAGAAACCTGAGCTGCTGTTACAGCAACCCACTCACACAGGTGTTGAAACTCTCACAGGTTCTGAGGAGAGCAGTGAATTAAAGACAAATGATTTTGTGAAATTAAATGAAGGTAATTTCCAGTCAGTAAGTAGGAGAGTTTACTAATATACAGATGAATACGTTGACTTGTTTTGCTTGTTTTTCTGATCAAGCATTAGCATCATATTTTCAGAAGTCTTGTTTCATCAAACTTACGTTAACCAATGCACCCGTTAGTGAAGCACATTTTCTCCAATAAATCATTCTCCCTCGAATCATTTTTGAGTGAAGTGTTGTGGCAAAATACCGGCAGTATGCGTCAGAGTTACTGAATCAACCAGCAAGAGAAATAAAAAGATACAATATTGTCAGTACTTCTTTTCGTATCAATTCCAAAGCTTATAAAGTTAGGGTGAAAACAATTATTCCATCATAGGTTTATCTAGTATTATATCTTCTTTGTGCAATGACATTAGAAACTTTCAATATTTAGGAGATCAAACCAACGCTTGCGATGTCTTGGAGGATCAGCAGTTACTGGAATCTCCATCTCATCTTCCAACTGTGGCGGAGAATCACAGCAGCAAGAAGTTTATTAGTAGTTTGCAACCTTTTAAATTATCTACTGAGATAACTAGGTACGCTCCAAGAGATAAGATTTTTCTTTGAATCTGTAGCGAATTCTCGCATTAATAACTTCATATCTTCCCTTAGATCGTTCCTAGCATCAATATGCATTTTCTTAACAGAATGCCAGAATCTTATCATCTCGTCTTAACCGGAAAAGAAATCATCTGTATCGGTGCGGAGCGATGGCGAGAAAAATAATCCGAGACGTCGGTTTCGCGATAGAATCTCAGACAGCGGGAGAACTACTCACAAAATTCTCAAAACTAGTCAGTTTGTAATTAATATATTACTTAATTAACTGTTTGAATAATTTTCCTGAATCTTTGATGTCAATTTCTTCAGCCCGCCGCTGTCACCCAACAAGGTCAAGCAGTGTGTACAAAACATATGGGAAAATGAAAAGTTTCTCTTCAGTGAACACTTAGCAATGGTGCTTCCTGGTACGTATGCTCAGAAAATTTATCAGGTTAGTCAACTGAATAATTCTGCAAGAGTGGTTTAATTCGTGTCAGTTTACGCATCATGGTTTAGGAAAACATTTTGTGGCCGATCTGTAACGTGAAGTGATCCACTTAAGATCGCGATTTTCTTTATGTGTGTGGCCTTTTGTCTTATTTTCAGTCACCTAAAGAATATGGATTACCTTACGGTTGCTCTAAGGATCAACACAATATTTTAATAAGCCAAAATAAACCTTGTATCAATAAACTTCCGTTTCTTTTCTTTTTTTCTGAATAACTTTGCACCCAAAAAAGACCTTAATTTGTCCTTGCTGGTCACACTCACAGAACCAAAACAAGTGCTGTTTTCAAGTCAATACCAAAAATGAACTTTGTAATAGAGGATATTGAGAATTATTCTCTGTTCATTAAATGGAAATGAGTTTTAACAAAACGTAAAACACTAAAACACTTCGTGTTTCTTTAAGTACCAACTACTTCATCCAGGAGGAGAAAGGATCATTCGACGACTTTGATACAGGAGGCAATGAAGAAGTTGACCCTTTCACAAGAATTATTGGATGGAAAGGTGGAGTTAGGCATACCGTGGAACCCGCTCGCTGTGTCGACGAGGCAAATGGAGAATTGCCAAATATATCTACGGTCTGTTTCGTCGTGGAGTGATGAAAAGCAAGCACAAAGTGAAATATCTCCTCACCGAAAGAGAACTGCAAGGGAAACCTTTAGTAAAAATAACATTTATGGTGAGATAAAATCTTTGCAAAGTCATGATTGAACTGCGGAGAAACAATAGGCAAAGTTTTCTGCTTGTTACTTCTTTTCTTCATCATTTATTTGCCTTTTTTCCTTTGTCCAGATGAGGTACAAGATGGAAGCTTGTCGCGAGACTTACAGCCGTTTTCAGGGGGAAAGCCGAAGGAACAACAATCGGGTAAGTACTTACACAACAATAACATTGAACAACACAGCTATACTTTGATCGAAATGTCATTTAAATCTGATGTCAAAGCTGATTCTCAAACAGTATTTAAGAGAAGTCAACAAGCATCCTAATACCTATGGGAACGTCAAAACTTAGATCTATACCTCTTTTTTCTTTTTTTGTGTGTGTTAAGGTGAGGATGGAGGAAAAACGCAGACATTGGCTTCAAAACGCGATATCCATGACACTTTGTCTACACTTTCGACTTCATCAGATACCACAACGAGATTCAATTCACGCTCGTCAAACACCAGCAAGTTTGTGACAGAAGTTAGAGATACCTCCGGAGAGACAGACGAACGGGAACCATATTTCACGAAACGCACAATAATTCCGGCATTAAGACAATTTTCTGGTGGCATTGATGATTTCTTTTTACTCAGGGAAGGTCATAAGAATTCCTCAAAGTCACCCAGTTCTGGCCAATGTGCACCAACAAGTAAGAATGGACTACCTCGCTCTTTAATCTATCCTTTTGGGCTTATTAACTGTTTTTGGGCTTATTAACTGTTCTTTGATGAGAAAATCAAAACAGTTGCTTAACTTTGGGAAATTGCATTCAACATCCTTAAAAAAAGAAAGAAAACATTAAGTTAGGGAATCAAAGTTAAAAGAGAAGTACATCATGTTTTTTAATAATGTGCGATATCTATGCCGAGGAGTGTCATTGGACAAGTAACACATCACCAAATTGTTATAATTTTCAAAAGTACACAAAAAACTTGAAACTCCTTATTTGGATACAAAACATTTGAGTCCGATAAAATTTCACAAAGTTGTTTTTCTACTTCTTTTCACGCCCGCCTTCATGAACTCGTTCAAATTACTGCTCTTTTCTTCAGTCTCTTGAATATCTATCTAAATTATCATTTGATCGGGACCCTTGCTAAGAGAAGACTCTTTTTAGTGGAAATCCAGTACCATTTTCGTTTTCTCTCTTTCAGAAAAAGTCGTAAAGGCGGCGAAAGTGCGTCCTTCGGTGTTCACAACAGAGCAGACAGGATTCAACTCTAGTGAAACGCAAGATCCAACGGGCTATGAGTGTCACAGCCAGCTACATAGTAACTATCACGTACGGCAGCGTGACATACCTGTTGAACTGTCAGACGATTTCCAAGAAATTTTAGACGAGTTGATCGGGCATGTAAAGCCTCTTTTATCTAAGCTTCAGAGAGCTGGGGTTGTGCCACAAACTAAGACGCTTTCGAACTTAAATCCAGAGTATACAAGATTCGTTTTGAAGCAAACTCAAATGTCCCTTAATGAAGGAGAGCACAAAAGTGATATTTATGGCATGTCTATATGCCTGCATGCGCTTGTCTCTTCTGTTGATGTTCTTATGCATAGTGGTTTGGAAGCTGCAGTAGGTGAGATTGGCAATTTCTGCGACATTTTCACAGCTTGTACAACTAGTTTCTTGTGATTTAGACTAAAAATTCTAATTCAAACTCAGATTTGAATGAGGCTATTTGACAGTTCTGCCTGTTAAACTAATTGAACTACAAGCAGGGATTTGAGGGGTTAATGTTTATCAAAACAGTGATATATTTTCCTTTCTTTATTCCAGCCTTCTTCAGCTCAATAAATGAAAAGTACAGCAGTTTAATAGGGGGAGCTCTGGAATCAACGCGGAGATACCTCTTCGAAACACGTTTCGCGTTTGAACAGCAGAAAATAATTCACCCAAAGCTTTCAAAGCTGCTAACCATCGTAGCAAAGTGGAGTAAAGATCAAGAAGCCTGCAGCGCAAACGCTGCTATCATCGTTTACACTTTCCACGAAAAGTTAACCAAAGAAATTACAGAGACATTGTCAGGTTTACACGGAGTTCAGACCAGGTTATTTAACAAGGACACAGAAATCGATGCTTTGCAGGAAGAAAATGGACAAATGGTAATCTATGTTGTGAATGGCTTAGCAGCAAGCGAGGATTTTCCGTGGGCAAGTTTTGACTTTGTGCTGGACTACAACCTGAGTGGAACAGTAACAAGGGAGGAACTTTCTCGCAGCACAAGACTTAAATCTCATGTAATCTTGAAAACGATTTCAAAAGTTTCAATGGGAAATCATTTAAGTGAGGCCGAAGGTTAGAACCTGAATTTCACTTCTAAAGGAGTTGTTGATGTTGTGATACAATCAAAGTTAGGTCCAGACCAATTGATTTTCATTTTGTTTCTCTTATTTTAATGTAGTTTTGCAGGAAATATTGCTACAAAATACGCAGCATACAAATTATGCAAATATACAATATCATCACATTTTCCACTGAGGCATGATCGATATCAATCTTGAAAAGGAGGAATTTTTAAGCTTAATAGCAATGTACGTATAAACATGTAAGCTATCGAGGATGAGTTTCATGACAAGTCTTGTTGGTTAATATCGAATCCTCAAGGCTGCTTTAGAGTTGATACTGGTTTCTGTAGCATGAAGCAGCCAGGATTATTGCTATCGTCAAAAGTAACTCCCAGCTATGTATTAACTTTTCTAGTGAGCTGGCTGATCCCTTGTGTCCCCCCGTGGGTATTGAGTGTCCGTGTGAGTGTGAAGTGTCGTACCGAAGAATACAACATGTTGGCTGGAACTCGGGTTTGGACTTCTCCACACCCCAACGCCCTAACAATTAGTTTGCTGAGAAGCTCCTTGCGGTGAAAGTTGTCAATTCTGCTACCATCTCCTTAAGACATTCTCTTTTCCGCTTTTCCTTTATTAATTAACTTTCCTTATTTATGCAAAGTCTCATATCTAACTCAAGCTGTAAACTATGTGTATGCATCAAAGGATAACGACATTTATTATGTGCTGAATGCCAGTCTCATAACCAGTGTAAAGGACCTCACGTGGTTATCTATCATTTCTCTCTCAGACATTAGTGACGCCAGCTTGTTAAGCGACCAAGATCAGTACATTTTCATCGGCAGTGAAAAATTTACACATAATAAAGATCTCCTGCATCTCCTTGAAACTTGCCACAATGTCATGATCTATGAAAGACGAAGAAGTAAGACAAAGTCTGAAGATTCTCTGAACAAAGTGCTTCTACAGCCAGACGTGATGATTGACGAGAGAACCTGCATTCATCTCCAGCATTTGTCTTCTCTAACAGATGAGAACGAATATAAAGGATTGAGAGATGTGGTGCTGTCACTGTCCCTCAAATGCCACAAGTGTCATATTATCATGTATTCTAACAAACAGCCAGAGTACGTATCCAAGACAAAAATAATATTTTGGTGATGACCCTGCAAGATGTATCCGGTAGATTTTGGGATAAGGTCAGGGTTAGTCAGTGCTAACTTATTACAAACTCTTGTTTTTATTCAGCCATGCCTTTACAGGAGAAGTTCTTCGCCACTTATCCCTTCTGTTTGCCAGCTGTGCACATTTTCAAAAGAATGAGTTTGAAGTGGAGATCCTGTACTCCTTTACTATGAAAGAAACTGCTCGTCTCATCAGACAGATAGGTGACAAAGCTAAGGCACAGTCTCCAGTGTGGAACAAGATGGAATGGCCAAAAAGGAAATGGTTAACAAACGAAGCAAGTGCGGTGAGATAAATTGGCTTCATTCACTTCGTGTCTAGAAAACATCGCAAAATATTTTTTGCGACATAGAGAGATCTGTTTATGTCCTCAAGACTAATTAGGTGTTGTTTTGTTTGAAGCATGAGGAGTTCCTGGTGTCACTTCCGTGTATGAATTCATTCAGGTAATCAAAGCGAGATAACTTGTCTAACGGTAATGATCTACATAAAAATCAATTCAACAAAAGATTTTTTTATAGATATTAAAAAAGAAACATTACGGTCACAACACTTAATACTTTGAATTTTATGTCTGTCAGTTCACTTTAACTACAACACCCGACAAGGTGCACAGTACACTGATTAGCGTTAAAGGTTTCCTTTATAACTCATTTATTATTTACTCAGTGCACAAGTGATGCTAACCGCTGCCCCACTAGCTGAGCTGTTGAAAATGTCACCTGAGGAATTGAAAGAAACCTGTCCTTGGATTCCGCCGAAAACTCTCTCAGTATGCGGAATTAAGTTTGTATATGAGTGTTAGTAAAGTTATACATACTACTGCACTAATAGTATTGAATGAGGAACTTTGATTGATTTAATATCATCGTGTCATAACCTATGCGATGATGTCACTAAGAGCTTGAGAAACTTGACTGATCTTCATTACCACGCCTGAGATTTTGATCCTCAAATCAGTAAGATAATGCTGAAGCGAGCTAGAGAAGAACGCGTAAACTCATTCATCCTTGTGTATCAAATTATTCGTTTATCAGTTTGGACCTCCCCATGTGAAATTTTCTCAGGTCCTTTTGGTGACATCCTTTATCGTGTTTGTTTTCAAAGACTTCAACTAATGTGATGTGATAAAAAAACGTATATTATAGGGTCGGCTGCTTAGTAATGTAACCTTTGCACTGTTTATAGCTACTCCAATGACAATGTTATGTATCACTTAAAAGTATCTACTTGGCTTTCTTCTAGGAATTTTACAAGTCTGTGAACTGGTGTTCTGAGTTAGACCCTGATATGCCAGTCTTTTCAATAGCGCAGCCGTCACTTCAAACTTCCTCACAAAGCTGCTTTGCTGTAGAACCGTCGCCACATCAAATGTCCTTGGCTGCCTCAGAGTCCAATTCTTCCCCTGATAGCATGGTTGCTACAAGTGATGCCTTGGTGGAATCCACTGACTACAGGCTTAATGATCCACCGTCACTTTGGGTAAACATTCAACAAACGCGAGAAACCACGAGAGACCCTGTGACTGATAGGGTTTATCATACTTACCCTCAAGATAAACCAGTAACTGATGACTGGTCTGCTGGCGCCTTTGGAGATCGCTTGAATTCTTTTCTCGGCGTTTCTCAAAGAGACGAGGCTGAACATCACTGCCCTCCGTTCCCAGATATTCCTGATACACATGATAGCGAATGGAGACCCTTGATAGCGAGAAATATATCTTCAAAGTCATGGAAGGACAACGTTGAATCAGATTTGAGGCGATGCATCACAGAGAAAAAGGTAACCATCATGCCAAAAGGGAGATAAATATTCCATATGTGTATTATTCCGTGCTTAGTTTTCAACCAGCTTATTTGTTTTGCGACAAGAAGCAAAGAGTGAGAGACATGACGAATAGAGGGATATAGAGCTAGGACAGAGGATGAAAGGAGAGTTCTATTAATGATGGAGGGAGGAGGAAGGCAAGTAAAGGTGATGGCCTGCCTTCCAATCAATGGGTGTCCTTGAACTTAACCACTTAATTTCCTCGGCCCTTTCACCCTTTGTTACATGTTGTGTGCCATCTCACCTGTTATCTCTCCTTTGTCTTAAGGTACCGTACATCAGGTATGATCACCAAGTAACGTCCAATTATCCAGTTAAGAGTCATTATTTTTCTGAATTTCCCGGTTCCTGTCGATCAAGACCCGAAGAAATAAGCCATTTAAGGGATGACAATGAAGACTACTTGACGCATGACGAAGACATCGACGTGACTGGTCGCTCAGCGATGTCTTTAAACTTTCCAATAGCAAGAGGATCTACGACACACTCTTCGAGAGAACAGAATGATCACTTTGACTCGTCTTGGGACAGAAACGTCTGCAGTCGAAGGTACCAGAACCCCAGAGATTACCGTACTCATCAGATACCGCAAGCACGTGTACTGGATAAAGATCATTCAAGCAAACGCGTGAGGTAAGAGCAGCTATGGTAAACATAATGTTTATCTTGTTTTCTGTGTGTTTCTGGCCTAAGTTTTACTTCAGACTGTGTCAGCATAGTCATAGGCTAAACATCTTCGGAGCAATAACGATTATATAATGACGCGCCTTCTGTTTCAAAACATTCTTAAAAAAGAAGAAGTAAAGAGATTACTGTAAGTACTGGTCTAGGCTTGTGCCCTCGTATGACCGCCAAAAAGCTTTGCCGCAAAGACCTGGAGACGAGAATGAAACGTATTCAATTGAATGTTCGCAGGCAAGCTGTGCGAGTATTAGACCTTGGAAACGAGGCTACCCGTGCTGTTCCAACTAAAGTGGGAATAGCTCAACCACAAAGGAGAGTTTATGGCTCATCTGATTATCCTCAAGTGTCTGTACCGAGTACATCAAGTCAAGCGCTAAGAGAAAATACTGTCGCTAGTAAACACAAACGAGTTAGTCTTGGTATTGAAAGATCTACTAACTCTGCGTCAAAATGTGCACAACAGGTAAGTATTTCCTGTCACCTCTATGGTGATTTACACAGAGCTTGTTTTAAAGGTCGCTTTCCACTGAGTTGCTTAAAAAACAAAGCCGTTTTTTTTTTTCCGAGTGAATAAATATACCAACAAGTTCTCTGTTATCGTGCATTTACAGCAGAAATGACACAAAACCGTTGAAAATGTCATATACTACAATAGCTAGGAGAAAGGAGGGAGTCTGTATAATTTGTCACTAAAATCTCGTAACCCCACAGAGCACTACTTATTCAAAAGTTTACTTGTCGGGTAAACCCTGTGTAAACTTATTTACCTCTGATCGTGACAAAGAGAGCGAAATAGCATGTTTGCAAAGAAAAGTAACCAACAGATAAACATTTCATTTTCATGACAGCTACGAGGAGGGGAACACGCGGTAACAGCAAAACGGCCGCCCCTAGACGGTGAGTTACTATCTTTTATACAACTTCACAACACGAGGGCAGCATTGGGACGCAAGCTAAAAGAGTACCAAAAAACGTGACGATAGCTTATACGTGATAAGCAGTAACGGGGGCGCGATCTTTCCCCTATTCACTCCACCAGTGCTTTTCTAACCTTAATGGAAGGGGAATCACTCGAGGAACAAGGGAATCTATACGTGGTATTACCAGGGGCATTAAAAGATCTAGTTCAAAATGATGTGAAGAATAACTTGTGTTTATTGAATCTATTAGATCCTGATGAATGGTCTTTCTTCCCTTCGTACCTGTCCTCAAAACGGCGTAAGCTGACCTACGAAAAGATCCCTGGTGTAGAAAGTGGTCAAACTAAGCTTGTGTTCAAGTACGACAAGTAGTTTGGATCATTCTTCGAAAAACGTTTAGTGTGCTATTAGTCCACATTTTGTTCATAAATCCCTTAAGACCTATGGCTTTGAAACAAACCTGAGCGAAAAAAGAGATCTTGCTGTAACTTGACAGCATTAAACAAAGCATTCACTAGAGATAATGTCGTTGATGACAGGGAGCCTTTTTGTCAATATTGGAAACATTGCACACGAGTTTAATACCCACTTATTGCATCATTAAAGTTATATTTGTAACTGGGTCCTTGAGTGTCTTAAAGCGTTTGTAAAAAGAAATTTTAAACGTCCTAACTTTAGATTCTATAAGCATCATGAGCTTTCGGCTGTATCATCAGTCGGCAAAGAATTATCCGTAGGTGGAGGGTGAGACAACACTCTGTCAATCAAACCAAACTCTTTAGCTTCCTCAGGTGACATAAACTTGTCCCGTTCCAGCGCTTTTTCTGATGTACAAAAATTGGAAACAAATAAGCCATCAATAAATGCGTGAACAAGTGATTAATTCAGTGTTTGGCATTGTGGGTGTCCGAGATAGACCAGGATTGGTTTTATTTTGCTTCTCTACGTTCTCTGATTGGTCCAAAAACTTGTGATCCTCTCGACTTATCATATGCAAAACTTAAATCCATCGCGATTTTGTCACTCTCACTCCTTGTCTATGTTATGATCAATGCAACAAATGTAGCAATTTGAAGCAAGTAGCTTATAACATGTTTTCAAAATCTTACCTATTTCATCAAGAGGCTGACCCGTGTGTTTAACATAGATCTTATTTAGGAGTGTCTTGAGCTTAAGAATTTCCTCTGCTTGAATGGCTATATCTGTGGCTTGGCCCTAAAAAAATAATGAAAAATTTACAATGGACATCTTTGCATAGTCATGCAGTCAGAGCACCCTTAACTTTGCCTAGTACTTATCTCAAGTTCACACACATCTTTCAGTTACATGCAAAATAATTACCTCTTCCTTGTTTAAGGCTGCATAAACTAAGTCAAATTGAAGTTCAAAGGATGTTGATGTTTCTCAAACATTTGAGTGACTACTTTCAAGGGTATATCAACAAAAAGTAACAACAACAACATACCCGTGCTCCTCCATGTGGTTGATGCACCATAACCCTAGCATGTGGTAAAGCATGTCTCAAACCTGGGCTTCCTGCAGTTAACAGCAGGGAACCCATGCTGCAAGCTTGCCCCATACACCATGTGGAGATAGGAGGTTGAATATACTGGAGAAGGAAATATCGGTACATTATGAGACTTTCTTACTTTCACTGACGAAGAGCACTTAAGATGAGGTTCCCTTCAGTAATCCTTTCAATACTTCAGAATTACTGCACCCTTGCAGATGCTCATTTCATTCTTCTGTATAGAAACTCTTGCAATGCCATAAAACTCCATGAACATCTTTGATAAGCAGTAACTTTCAGAAAACCTGCTCTCTCTCCCCCACCCCCCCAAATTAAAAAAAAAGGGGTTTACACCTCTACCAAAACTCTGGGCTATGATTTTGTACAGAATAAACAAACAAATGTGATACAATTGCTTAAAAATTGTAACAAGCATACCTGCATTGTGTCATAGATGGCTAATCCTGCTGTAACTGACCCACCTGACAAGAACACAAAATAATTAAGTTTCACGTGTAAACCTGACCTAAAACATCCAGAACACAATATATCACACAGGTGGGTAAGTGGTTAGTGCTCTAGACTCTGGATTAAAAGGTCCACGTTTGAGAACTGGCCTAGTCATTGTATTGAAATGCTACGCAAGACACTTTATTCCCACAGCACCTTTCTCCACCCAGGAGTATAAATGTGAGACTGCAAACTTTCAGAGGAAGCTGACAAAGTTAGAGAGGCTAACCTCTCACTTACTCTAAATTCCTTTAGAAGGCTGAGGTCAGGATAACTTCTTTTTAACTTAGAAGGTGACTTTTTTTGCTAAACCCTAAATATCAAATTAAATGTATTAAAACCATGGCTTTGATCACAATATATGACAACTTTCCTTGTTATCCTGATTTTCCCACAGATAGTTTTTCCCAACATAACAACAGTAATTAGCAACAGTATGTTTAAAAGTGCCTTTAATTTTAATTAAATCACCTGGACTGTTGATGTACATATGAACAGGAGTTCTATCATTCTCAGACTGTAGAAATAATAGCTGAGCCACAACAAGACTTGACAACTCATCTGATATCTAAAAAACAACAACAGAAAAAAAACCATTTGAAAAAGGTTCTGAATCAGTGATTAAAAATACATCAGGTTTGTTGGCAAGGCAGAGAAACTAGAGAACACAGGGGTCCCAACAAAAAACCCTCAGAGAAGAAAGGAAAACCAACAAAACATTCAAACACATGAAATGCTACATACAGGAACTAAAGTGGGGTGACAGCATTGAGAGATGAGTGCTGCAGCAACTGCATCATCTCCACTGCCCCTTGATAACCAGCCAGCATCAGTTTCTTGTAGGATGTTATGTCCAAATTCCTTAATATGGCATCACAAAGGATTGTTGTCCGAATGCAAAAAACTTTATCATTATTTCTTTGCACATTGCACACTGTTATACTGGACTGGCCCACAAAAATGTGAGCTAATCACATGTGATTTTATGCATTTAGTTAGTTTCTTATAATAATGACAAATTTTACTACAAGGCTGTCTCTCTTAGAGGCAAACAAAGTGAATCCTGCATTCTGACTGGTTGACAATCTATTCCTTCACAAAAGGCTTCAGGTCAAAAATTGTTCAAATGATAAGTCCTTGTTCAGTCAAACTAGACACACAATTTTATAGTTTTTTTTTCTCATTCTCCTAGCTGATTCTTGTGCTACTTAATTAAGAACAATGAATTCTACTTTGAATAAGCTGCGTTTTCAACTCTCTTTTCCTTCAAAAACTACCACAACTTAGAGTAATCACTTGCATATCTGGTTACATTTTAAAATTTAAACATCGTCACTTACAGGACCCATAACACACACTATTCGCTCTTTCAGAAGACGGGAAAATATGTCATAGGCTCTTTCACCTCTTCCCTGAAAAACATTAAGATAAATCTTTCATCAATCAGAAAACAGGAAGAGAAGGTTCTGAGCACGTATCAAAGTTGAAATACTTTAAGAAATATAAATGCTCCGGCTCTGTAATTACATACCGTTTGTTCGATCACCATAGGAATCAAGAACTGTCTCCTGCAAGACGTATGTATCCCTCGCGATATCCTAGAAATTACCTAAACAGGAAAATATACGGTGTATCAAATAAAAGGGTAACTTGTGACGAAAAAGTTTCAATGGTACTCTTACGTAAAGTCCTTGTCGAGCAGCCATGTTGAATTTGGATTGTAGCCGCAGGTCATAGTCACTGCAGACACTGAGTATGATGTCATCCCCAGTATATCTCAATTTTAGTTGAAAAACTGACCAGGTCCAGGCTGTCGGTGCATTTCATCACCTTGTGGGATACCGAAGAAAGTTCCTTTATCTACAATGTTTACAGGAGATATAGATATCCACACTGTCTACTTTAATACAGTTATTGCTACTGCCTGCTGTTGATAAAGCTACCTACCTCTTGTTTCTACTGTTGACACAGTAAATAGTTATATATCTGCTGAAGATAGTGCAGACAGTTGTATCTCGTAGATAATGTAGATAGTTTTTTTTTCCTGCTTTTCTCAGTGTAGGGAGTGGAGTGAAGAAGACATAAAGCATTGGGTTGTGGTCGAACATAAATAAAGTGTAACTGACGTATCTAACGAAGTGATTTAGTTTGAAGCGTTTACCAAATGCTCAGTCAGTGGACATGAGCGGGGAAGCGGATAGGAGACAAACGACGGTTGTGGTTGTCAGGGAAACGCCTAAAAGAGTGACAACCCTCCTGCCTCTAATTATATTTTTTTTTTACTGACCTTCATTTGAAAAGCGCGAAATGAGCCTGTGCTCCCTCCCCAAAGGGTGAAGGGAAGACTGCATCCGAGAAAATAGCTCAAATTGAGTGTAAAAAATCACTCACTGTATGTTATACCTCTCACTTGAAGGTTTTTGGAAATCTATAGGTAGCTCTCTCGAAATAAATGTCAGTCAAATATTAAGTGTTACCCGATTTTTCAGTCAAAAGATGCGCAGATTTTAAATCTGAAAATATTGAAAACGAATAGAATGATTGAAGACATTTTCAGAATCTATTCCTTTTTTGAATGATTTTCAAGCTCTCTTTAAGCTCAAGTCATCTGTTTTCAGAATAACTGAGCGGTGAATTTTCATGAAAAGCTACAGAATAGAGTGAATTCGCAGAACCTGTTCGTTATATGCAAATTAGTTTGTCACTAAATGCTAAATTCAAATAGATCTACACTGCCGGATTTTCCCCGTGTAAATTCCTAGTCAACAGACATTACAAAGCGTAATGATTGCTTACGGTTAGAAAAACTTTTGCTTATTTTCTGTACGTAACTTTCCATTTAATTTGCTTCTTTTTAGCAAATAATGAGGCTTCCTAAAGTGCTCAATGCTGCGCGTCTTAGATCCTTTATCCTCCAAAAATAAATCAGAGGATTTAAAGAGCTATTGGCAAAAACGATTGTTACTAAAACTGAATACTCTACAACATCGATGGACTTGTGTCCTCTGCGAGTGAGTTTTTTTAGTTCCACACATAAATAAGGAAGGTAGCATAACACGAACAGTTTTAAAACCATTAGAGACGTAAAAGTCTTTGCTTTGTACTTAAGCAAATCAAAAGCATTTTGTTCTTGGTTAATGGGTTGTTCAGTTTGTATCTGCCGTTGATGTCGACGAATAATTTTCCAAATTGTCTTATAGCTGTAACAAATCACTAAAATACAACACAGTGCTCCTGCGACAGACAGTATGGCAAGGATTGAATACCTTCCCACAGCGAACCAGATGATTAACGAAATCAAAATCTGAAATACCCAAAGCTGAAATACAACAGAAGCCACTCTTTTTGAAGTCACTAGTTCATGGTAACGTAAAGGCCAATGAATAGCGACAGCTCTCTCTATGCTCAAGTAAGTTAACGTTCCTAAAGATAATGCTGTGAAGAGATACGCCAGAAACATTTGAATTTCAAAAACTACACAAAAGGTGGCGACAAGACGAGCATAAACATATAAACATAGCATAGGTTGGAGTAACAAACCCACGCAGAGATCGGCCATAGCTAAAGATGCAACCAGTATATTTGACACGGAATGAAGAGAAAACGTCTTCCACAACGAAAAGAGGATAAAAACATTGGCAACAACAGCAACCGGCGACAGTAGTCCGTTTATAATACTGATTCCGATAACAAAATTACGGTAGTTGTGCTCATAAAGTATGGTAGAGTTTGTTTGTACAGTTGCTCCGAGTATCACACAGAAGCTGGAAGCGTTGGTCATTTTCTTTTTGACGATTTCAGTCTTCAGAAACTTCACAACCTCTCATCTTCTCGGCTCTCAAATAAATATACATCTGTGGTGGTTGTTAGTCTTAAGAATTAAAACGTTTTCAACGTCAATTTCGTTTTTAGTGCGGGAACCTCACTCAAAACATTACTTGATTGGAGTTAAGAATTGAAAATCATGGTTTCGGGGCGACGAAATGACTTTTGAAGATTGAAATTCTATTTATTGACAGACATTGTCTCTTAAATAAACAGGATTTCCGTAACAAATACTTTGTTAGCGTCTTGTTGCTGAAACTGTTTTGTCGGTTTATTTTTAAATGGGGAAGCGCTGTTTTCTCGAAATAAATGCCAATCAAGTATAAAGTGTTAGCCGATTTTTCAGTCAAAAGATGCGCGAATTTAAAATCTGAAAATATTGAAAACGAAAAGAATGATCGAAGAAATTTTCAGAATCTATTCCTTATTCGAATCAGTTTTAAGCTCTCCTTACGCTCATGATAAAGTCCTCTGTTTTCGGTTTTTTTTATATTTAAAGCTACAGAATATATATATGTAATTGACACGGTAATGCAATGAAATTCCCGTAAGCCAAATCAATTTTTTTGCTTGATGAAAATTGGAATTATTATTATCTTAAAGCTGCAGTGAGTGGTCGTAGTTTAAGAACACAACCTTGTCTCAGAAATAGTTACTTGAGAATAAAAGATAAAATAATGCTGATGCATGTTTACTCGGGACGAAATAAATATTGAATTATTTAAGAAAACAGAAAAATAACTTTGCCCTCTCAGAACAAAAGGTGTTTCAAATTATATGCATAAAATATGACTTTAACCCCCAAGTGAAAGAACCAATCCGTGGGTATGTGTAATGATATTGTTCTAATTGCCTTGAATGACGTTTACTTAAATATTGTCCTTTCAAGAAAATACCATTTCCTTGCTAGAAACTACTTGTGCTGCCAAGTGGAAGTCTCTTTTTCGGAAATGGCTCTTTGAGCTTCTTTTTACATTGTCACGGTTATTACAAATCTTCCGAGACTTCTAAGGTCAGGACGAGAAAAGACATGTTTCATTTTATTCAACTCTACGTGAGGTTTGGGGGGCTGGGGGCGGAAGGGTTTGAGGAAAAAAATGGATTTGATGGCGTCATAAAACTCCTTGTCTACGCAAGAGGAGAGTAATGTTCCTTTAAACCTGTTTCGAAAATTTATGATTAAGTGTGTGTTTTCTATAGTGTCGACGGAAGTCGCAAACGTGTACATTTTGCGTCTTTGTAGTAAGCAGGAGCCTGTTGATATCGGCAGGCTCACGCTACGCCAGGTTCCCCAGGAATTTGTTTGGTGTACTTACTCACAGCAAATATCAGAGGTCTGACCCTTTTTTTCTTTTAATTATTTCATTTTATATTTACACACAATAGGCACTGTACAGCAATTTCACCGCGTACACTTTTCCCAGTTAAAAATTCTTTCCCAAACATAACCCTGTAAAGAAAATAAAGTGACATGAATAAATAAGAGAAGCGTTTCCCACGGACTTTGATTCGTACAGAGGAATTCATTAAACCACAATAAGAGAGCAAAACAATTATTTGCATTTTAATCGCGATCAAAACAAAAGTTTTCGTGACATAAACAATTGACATTTGTCAATCATGGACCGCGCAAATCCGTTCAACACTCCAATTACGTGTCACCTCTGATCATCATTAGAGACCAAAGTCGCTTAAATCAGACGAGAAAAGCATTTAAAACCGCCCTTTGTGATACTTTATTCCAAAGAATATGCTTCAATCGGTAGCGGAATTTGTCTTGCAATATTCACCGCAGTCGAGTCCACAGACGTTCTCATCTCTCGTATTGGTGACTGCTGCAATCTTCTGCATTGTGAGCGTCTTACTAAGCCTTGTTCGGCAAAGGAAACTTGCTGTTAAGTCAGTCGATGGAGTACCGGGACCGGATGGTCACTGGCTGAAGGGACATCTTGATTACGTAAGTTTTAAACAAGCTGAGTCAGGTTGTGGGCCGGAATGATATCTTGTG